ACCACAAAATCCACGAGGTTACCATCCAATCCACTTTTCGCCATTTTTCAAAACTCGCATCAGTTATTTCAGGCATCTCCATCGTTCCATTGATGAAACCTAGTTTTGTCTTCGCACCAAGTGCTATCATCATAGATCGCTTCCAAGCTATGAAATTAGTTCCATTGAGAGGATGCGAGACTATCGCCATACCTGGATTATCCGATCCCGATAAGTAAAGAGGATTGTCCTCTCGTTGTTCTAGGGTTCCGGTGGCTCGCGCATTCAGCAGTGGCCATGCTTCAATGCTTCGATTAGTCGCCATTGACGATCGATTCAGAGCTTCACAGGATCGTTACGCGCTCTGGTACCATGTGATAAAATGAGCTAAGAAACAATTTTCATTTTCATTTTTTTCACACAAAATCCGTACATACAAGCTGCATTTATAGTATCATGCAGTTCCCAAACGACGTCGTCTGACAAGCTAAGTGATAGGAACTAAAGACGACGTCGTTCCCTACTTATTAAAACGCAAACACGTTTTTAACCAATGGAAGAGAAAAGAATAAGGAAATACTGCAGTTAGAACTGCTAGCTCAATACACTTGCTAGAAATTATATCACACACACACTCATGATCTTCAACACTGGATTGATGGGATGCAGCATAATATGATTTTTCTTTGTTTTTCTTTTTCTTCTGTTCTAGGTTTTTTTTTTTTTTTTCAGTCACAAGGGCTAATAAAAGATGAAAATGACCCTGCATTTAGACTATATTAAGGGTTGCTTTCCCTCTTCAAAATATAACCTAATATCATTAATCATACCATAATAAAACCAATTTTTTGACTTCACGATTAGGTTACTGATGTAGTTAAAAGCCTGTGATGTGAATAACATAGAACCAAAAACAACAAAGAACAGTTTTCTTTTCTTTTCTCGATTCGATAATAACATAATTGTCCGATAATGAAGCACTAGTACGTTTTAATACTAATACAAAGTCCTAACCACCTACACTTAAAAGCCCACATAATACAAGCCCAACACAATAATAATAATAATAATAATAATAATAATAATAATAATAATAATAATAATAATAAATAATAATAATAATAATAATAATAATAATAATAATAATAATAATAATAAGAAGAAGAAGAAGAAGAAGAAGAAGAAGAAACAGAATAACATTCAAACTAATGAGACGAGTCCATCATATTTGTCGACATATGCTAATGCAATCTCTTCGGCATCAGTTACTTATATAATTATATTTTATAAATGCTTTTATAATATATATATATTTATATATATGTGTATGTATAAATCGATTTTTCGGTTGTGTTTTCAAGTCGAGCTCCATTCTTCTGAATCTGATTTTTTTTCCCTGAATATTGTGCAACTGTTTTGGAGTTAAAATCGATGGATGGGATGATCTAGTTGGCTGACTTATGAGGTGAATAGGCTTTTAATTGAATGATGGATTTCATAAGCACTCTTGTTACATGGATTCGGTGTTTGTTTTATGTGAAACGTAAGGCTCACCTATTTCATGTTTTAAGTTGTCTATTTTCTAGTTTTTGTTTTTTACTGGTGATACTATTTTGTATTATTGTGCGTTAAATTGATTCTTTCTGCTTTTGGTGGAGTTTCTTGCTGCAAATTGTTTGGTTTAGGGTGGTCAGAGAAGGGTTTACTTTGTACTCATGGGAGAACGTTCAAATATATTTCAATGAGAATGTAGTAGAGCAGCAAACTTTATTACCTAGTGCGTGAGAAAAGATGAGTGAATATGCAGTCTTTATGTAGTTGTAGAAGTTCTTTGAATACCTTGTATTTTAATGCATGCTGGATACATCCGTCCGTCTTCTTTTAGTACCTTAACTTGAATTCGAATTGGAGAATAAACAACTATATTGGAAAAGATATTAACTCTATGGTAATCAGTTGAGTGAAAAGGTATGGCAAAAAAATGTGTTTTGTGTTGTATGTTACATTGTTACTATTGTAATTAACATCAAAATAGGAGTACAAGTGTGGGAAACCGGTCAGTTTGTGAATTGGGAGATTGATAAAATAATGTTGCTCTATGTTGTGAATTGGGAGATTGATAAAATAATGTCGTGCTATGTGGAAATATTTTCTCGTAATCATGTCTGGCATGTCAAATATGTGGATTTGTTATTGTATGTTGCATACACAAATGAACACACACAACACAAATGAACATATTTATATGTGTGCTTCATACAAGTGACCTGGTGCTACCAAAAGTTACTGTCCTATAATTTTTTTTTTTCTTCCTTTTGCCTCCTCATTTGCACACTGCCAACTGATTTTGTTTGTTTTCATATAGTTTTTGAACTGGTGCTCCTCACTTTCTTGAATGATTTTGATGGTTGGTATCATATTGCATGATTTGAGTTTGTACTCCCTCTATTAAGACCCTCACAACTGTGTACGGTCCCTCTCAATTAGGTTCCAATTTTCCGACGTGCTTTATAATTGGTTCTGTTGCTCTTAGTCGGTGTTGTGGGGTTTAAATTTTTTCCCACTTTTTAATTTTCCCCCATTTTCCCTTTCTAATCTTTTCTGGACATGTTGTGGTTTAGAGTAAGGCTGACCATTCGATGCCATTTTCTAAGGTTTTCTTTTTTTGAATAATCTTGAGTTTGACACTGTTTTTGGGTTTGCCTCAGGTTTTAATCGGGACACTGTTCTTGGGTTTGCCTCACCGTGGCCCTCGTCCGCGTCGCCGACCCGCCTGCAAATCGAGGAAGACGGCCAATACGGGTCGAAACAGAAAAAAATACGAGAGGTGAACGGGAATTTTAACTCGTCGCCGATGAGTACGTGTACGGGTTAAATAGCCGGTCGGTAAACATGTCATCCCCTCGTCGCCCGTCCGATGGAGACCCAAAAACGAGACCAAATTGTTGACGTTGCTCCAAGTTTAGGAAGAACAAGCCGTCGTCACCGTGGCCCTCGTCCGCATCGCCGAACTGCCTGCAAATCGAGGAAGACCGCCAGAAGGAGAAGGGGCTAGGGTTTGTGCGTGAAATTGAATCTACAATGGTGTCAAAAATCGAGCAAAATTTGATCCGAGTTGTTAGGGGCAAAATTGTACTTTCTAACATTGATGTGAGTTTGTGTTGAATGATTTTTTTTTTTAAACAAATAAGATCCTACACATACCCAACATAACAAACACAATATAAAAATAATCCAAACAATACAATCTCAAACATAACAAACACAAGATAAAAATAATCCAAACAGTAGAATTCCACCATTTTGGATTATTTTTGTCCAATCCCATCCATTTATCAAAATGTGTAGCAATAATATTATTTATTAAATTATATTATTTTCACCGTGAGAGTTCTTGCCAATGCTTAAACTTTACGGCCGCCCTCCAAAATTTGAAAAACCCCATACAAAAAAATAAATAAATAAACAATAAATAAATAAATAAATAAAAGCTTTTTCGAAAAGTAAGCAACAAAATGAAATAATTTAGCCATACAATAATTTAAATAATTGAATATTTTAAAAGGTCTTAGAATAAACTAATTGTAATGTTTTCCAAAAATCAAATAAAAAGCTGACTATTGAATATTATTGTGTCGTTAACGTGATATTAAAAATTGTTGACTTTATAGTTGATAATGATCGGTTTATATTTGTAACCACAAAATGTTTCAAAAATATCTAGAATGAGATGGAAATTCATTTCTCCATACAAGTCAAAACCATATAGGTTTATATTTGTAACCACATGTTTCCAAAATATCTATAATGATATGGAAATTCATTTCTCTATACAAGTCAAAACCATTTTGTATTAATTTTATATTTTTATTTTTTTTTTAGTTTGTTGGTTAGAAAAAAAAAAAATGATACTCAACGCTTAAAAAAATTAACCGTTTTTTCTACAAATCATTAAAAACGAATTATATATTTCAAAAAAATCACATCCCTCCTTATATATAAATTCAAAGTTTCGAACATATGCACCAACTTTTGGTGTTTCTAACTTTATGTATCATTACGTGTTGAATTTTGTTGTTTTATAATTCTATGTGTCATTTTATATTACTTCGGATAAATTTGAAATTTTATCACCATCTATTAGAAATTATAAAAATATAAAATAACTGACCAACTTATAATATAGTATTTTAAAAGTTCACAGTTTTTGTCCTTGTTGTCAAAACTTCTCCATATAGGATATAGAAAATTACTAATATATAGACAAGGTTCGATTTAACATCCATAATGCATATAAATAAATAAAATAATTTATTATAAAAATTAAATTATATGTCAATACAAATTAAAATTAATAAAATTATTTATCAATTAAAAAATATTTATAGTTATCAACTATGAATTTAAAAAAAGTATTATGATATAAGACCAATAAATTATACAAGTGAAGAATGTCATCTTAAATATAAATAATAATGAATAATAATGCTGTATTTATTAAATTATTTAAAATTTAAATAGAAAACTTATTTTTTATTTTATTCTTTAAAGTTTAATGCATATATTTTAAATACACGGTTGTTAGAGTTGCCTAGTATAATTTTAAAACTCAATACATTCAAATGAAAATAGTTGACATCTATATTTATATCTATATCTATCAAAAAATTCTATGGAGCCATCGGATTTTTTCTTATGAAGCCATCCATCACTTAATATAGTGACACCTGTCTAAATTGTATTTACTGTAGGACACGTGTCAATGCACTATTGGTGATTAAGTATGAATTGCTCCATAAGCCGAACCATCTGATGGCTCCATAACAAAACTGCTATATCTATATCTATATATACATAAAGATCAACCTATTTACCAAATATAATAACACGAAAAGTCAACCAATATTTATTGTATTTTATTTTTGGCAGTTTTAATTTATTTATTTTTTTAAATTATTCCTAAAAAATCAATCAGCTATATATGCACACTAAATTCATGGGTTTTGTGGATTTAATTTAGGTAAATTTTGACTGATGTATACAATTTTGCCAAAGTCAAGTTTTTCTCATTTTTTATTTAATAAAATTGATTACCATAGAAGCAGGAATTTCGCATTAAGCAAAATACTATCACATATATCTTTTACTAATTGCATCAGATTAATTGTTTATTAAAAAAATCAGATTACATAGAAATCATGTTAAAATATGTAAATTTCAGCATGACAATTTTATAAAGTAAAAATTCTCTCATTTTTTATTAAAACATGTTTACCATAAAATCGAGAATTTCGAATTAGGCAAAATACTATAACATTTATGTTTACCTAATTGCAACATATCATGTTTATTAAAAAAATCAGATTTTATAGAAATCGCATTTGGCTATTACTTTATTTAGTTCAGATTTTTTTAAACATAAAATAGAGTTAGATAATATTAATTAGCAATTCAAAATGAAATCGGATTTGAACATCATAAAAATTTGGGTTTTGTTTAATTCTCTAGAATACAAATTTAAAATTGATTGCATACACTTACAAAATGAATAATGATGCAATCATACACTTACAAAATATCATATATATCCTACTAAATAATTAATTGATTTATTTAAGTTTGTCTCGAATCCTAATATAATTTGTGGTTATAGACGATGTATCAAAAGACCAAATAAATAATGTTGTATACAATGATATATTTAATAATGCATGAGTTACATTACGTTTTCCAATCATCTACTCATCTAAATCTAAATATTTACTTAAATAAAACTAGCTATCGCACACCATATTTACCGCAAGTTATCAAAATGATTTGATGCCAATTGTAGCAGCACTTACTGGTTTTTTGTCGGTTCATACTATCAGACGTGCCCAAAATGATTTTGATCAAAATATCTCTACAATCCGACGTGCCCAAAATTATTATCGGTTCATACTATCTACCATTTTTTGTTTTTTCTTTGTTATATATTAATTATTATTAGTCTCTCTTTTATTTAATATATATATATATATATATATATATATATATTTTTTCATTCTCATTTGATACAATTTAATTCTGATATTTTAGGTGCATCCGTACAGTAGGATATTTTTTAAAACATGGAGCAAAACTTCGTTTCCTTGTATTGTCTGTCTATATAACTGGCAGCGGCCAGAAACCGAAGCCAGTCTGGCCGGCGGCCTTGCTTCAACCCTCCGGCGACGGCCACCGGTAGGTCTTTTAGCCTTATACGTACGCTTAATGAATTCCACCTAACTCCCCGCTTCATTTCGTGATAATCCTCGATTCAGGATAAAACTTCCCTTTTCGCATTTTCAGATTCGAGCAGAAATATATAGATTTCATAATTTATATTTCTTAGCTGGTTTATTGATTTTTTTTTCTTTTTTTTTTTTGTTTTGTCTGTGTATTATTGATCTGGGTTCCTAATACATCTGCAGACAAATCGGTGATGACTGATGAATTTTCTTTCTAATTGAAAACTTTTTTTTTTTCTTTTTAATTCAGATCTCAAATGATGACCTCGGTTTTTGTTTTGATCTGGGTTCCTATTTTTAGTATCTTTTTTTTTTCTTAGGACTCCTTAAATTGTGCAAATTAATGTTCTGCAGGTCAGTTGGGTGTATAAATCCATTTCAGTTCATTTGGTGTTTGAAATAATTTGTTCTGCAGCTCAGTTGAGTATCTGAATTCATTTCATTTTAAATTTTCAATTCATTCATAGTTTGAAATAATTTTGTTCTGCAACTCAGTGATTTGTCTAACTCTAACACTTTCCAGCTTCATTACAGACGATGATGATCGGTTATGACGACTATCTATTAACCGAGATCTTCATATGGCTGCCTCCAAAATCGCTAATTAGATTCAAGCTAGTATGCAAACAATGGCTCTCTTTGATATCCAGTGACTATTTCTCTCGAAAGCACACTCTAAACAAAATCCATCGTTCAAGAACTGATTCTTCTATCCTCCTCCGCCTCGAATCGGACTACTTTTACCTTCACGAAAAAAAATTAACTCCGTACCAAATTTCTTTATCCCTAGTCGAGCCAAATGTGTCGGGCTTTTCCAACGGCCTTTTTTTGCTCCAATGTTCGAAATCCATAAAGTATCCTCTTGCCGAATGCTTTATCTACAATCCCACCACAAAAAAATCCCGAAAAATCGAACTCAATGATAACTACAGGTACAAATCCGTGATCGGGCTCAATCTTCTGGCCGACCCTCACAATCCATCCGATTACAAGATCGTATGTGTTAGGTGTACGAGAAGACGATCGTCTAGCTCATGGTGGCGTTGGTGGCGTTTTTGCCAGGTGGAGGTTTACGATTCGAGGGATTTTTCTTGGAAGCCTTGCGGTGAGCCTTTCTGGGCTCCGATGGATGTGGATTTCAATCGAGGGGTGTATTTATACGGTTGTGTTCACTGGCATGGATTGTTTTTTAGTCTCGACGGAGGTTTTTTGGGTGAGCACCCGAATATCGAACTCCCGAATGATAATAATGGAGTTGAGAAATTCGAGAGGAGTTATTTAGAATCGTGCGGGTATCTTCATTGTGTGGTACATTTTGTTAATAGTAATAATAATAGTGTGATTGTGTTTGAATTGGAAAGTGATTTTTCCGGTTGGTTGTTAAAGTATAGTGTTGATCTTGGTGGAGTTCCGGGTCGAGTTTCGGTGCTCAGTTTCGTTAGGGGGGAGAATGAAGAGGATTGTTCATTGGTTTTTCACGAGCCGGGCAAAGTTGTGGCTTTTGGGCCTCCGGCGAAGAATAGAAACGAGCTCGTTGATTTTAGCGGCGAGGTGTATTATGAGGATGGCTGCTTGCAGTTTGGTTCTAACTTCAGTTTTCAGTTCTCTGGGACTCTGGCTCCTGTTTGATTGATGTGAAGCAGCTCTTTTGGAGTATTTGTGTATTTGTTTACTTTAATTCCTTTTTTTTTTTTTTT